AGAGGAACCCAGAGAGTCATTAGTCCAACTTCCAGATAAACTACTTTCAAGTCATAGTTCTACTAATGGTACTTTGCCTATACGGCGTGCGTAGCCTTATCACTATCAGGTGTCATGTCAATTCACCAAATATGATAACGACTTACACAAAGGCATGATGAGGAACGGCATCGTTATGTTTCAGAAGAGGACCTATCAATGCGAGCGATAGATACAATCCTTGAAGATTCCGCAAGGAGCTTCATGTCATCCTTACATCCATAGAAGTTAGTTCTTAATTCTTTAGAAAGGTGCTTGTTGTTGATTTCAGCATCAATCATTGTGATATAATGTGGGGATTCAGTTGCAAGTATCATCATTCTTAGCATGCACGGCTCGATTGAACATACGTGCGCGTCATCAAATTGAATTCTCAAACTACTCGACTACTTCGTTCGCTAGTAAAACAACTCAATGGCATCAAAGATCTGTAGCATCGTCAGCACTCATACTTCCAAATACCATGTCAGAGAGTCAACTTACCACATTGGGGCTGAGGTAGGCATCACCAGATGTACCGGAAATCACATTGATGGTCACGGTATTAGAACCGCTGACGAGGGTTCCAGATGGAACAGTGCACTCGTAGATTTCTCCATAACCACGATAAGCACCTCTGGTAACACCACGGCTATCGATCTTGGTGGGAGCAGCTGGGGCTGAGCATGTATACCCATTGACACTTGCTTGAGGTCTGCCTCCTCCAAAAGACAAGGTGATGGCAATGCGCAAGGTGGTTGCCTGCGAAACTGCACTGGAGAGGGAGAAAGAGATTGACTGCCCGTTGTTTACATCCTTGAACATAGCCATCGGCCATGATGATGCTGAGCCAGAAGAGACGGTGCCGGGGGACCAGCTCGACATCCTATATGACACACGTGTTAGATTAATTACCAAAAACTTGATCAAGTACGTACCTGGAGTCAGATGGATGCATGCGCAACTGGTTATCGGCATTGCGGAAACCAGTAGGCTGGCCATCATAATCTCCCATCTTGAAAATGGTGGTTCTCGATGCTGTGAGCGCGGTATGGGTGGCTGCAATATTCGCTGTTGTGGTGCTTCCTGCGGAGACCGTGACAGTTTGCGTTGCAGCAAGGAATTCATCTTGGTAAAGTTTCATCGTGTAACTTCCCGCAGGCATTGGTGGCGAGGTGAAGGTTCCTGATGAGCTCGCAGTAGCCCAGAACTGATAATCGGAATTGTGCCAGTGAACAACCCGGGGAAAGCTGGTCGAAACTCCTGAGACTGAGCCAGTAACGTAGCCGCGTTTTCCGGAGACTGGAACATATCCATTTAGTCCCAGGCTGTCGAAGAATGTCACATCGACTGAGGAAGGCGTAGGTCTGCCACTTCGAGTCATGGAAAATACATATGGTCCATGGAACCCTGTTCGGTAGGATTCGGTTTGAACGTGGCCCGAATTCATGTAGTAAGTCAATGCATTGTAAGACCCAGAGGGGTTGGAGCTGATATCACGGAAGAAAGGGCCACCGGAGCTCTTCTCTGTCGCTTGGTGGTTCGGGCGGAGCCAACAAGCGTTAACAGTTACTCCAGAGTTGGTAGCACAGTAGATGCTCTCATCGATAAAGCGGTCGGATGAGTAGAATTTGCTCCGTGTCTGGCCACTAACGAGATACACGTCACTGCCCTCGATCGCAGTGCCGCCACTTGTTACGGACACATCTCCATGTGGGTAGGGCACGTTCAAGTCATTCAATCTGAAGATGTATCGGAGTTCGCCAACAGTAGGTTCTGACCGAATGTTGGTTCCCATCCAGATATTAGCCGACCCATCTCGGAACACGAGATAGTGGTCAAGGTCGAAGCTAGAACTACTCTGTGTGCACTTAAAGATAACAGTGTCTCCAGAGGGGCTTGTTGTATAAGAAACCTTAGTCCAAAGTTAGCTGACTAGAGACCCTGCTCCTTGATCGATCTAAATTACATACACTGGTTCCACTGCCAAGCCCAGAAGCAATATGGCTGTAGGTTCCCTGGTTTTGATACTCTGAACCATAGAATTTGAGGGAGGTTATATCACAAGTGGAGCGGCTGATTGTGACAATGAAGTTGTAAGAGCTCGCTGTGTCGACAACATACGAGGCGGTCGAGCTTGTCACGGTGATTGCTTCAGCCGTGGCTGCCAGCCACGAAAGAAGGCCAATGGCCAGGCTAAGAATCATCATCGTTAAGTAAATTGAACAATTTTTGCATGGCTCTGGCTTCTGATAACAAATTAAACAGTTACCAACGAGCATTTAAGTAGTTATCCATACGGAATGGTCTCTCCTGCTTGCAGCGGGGGATCTGCTTAAATCCCACTCGGGACATCAACCGCCGAAATTAATTGCGTGACTCTAAAGACGAGCCGAGGAAAATCATGAACATTGATGGATCGGCTAACCGGCACACCATATTTAGCCATAGTCAGACGAGGGGAATATCAGAGTTGATATTCCATTTGGTATTGCCTCCGAACATATCAAAGCAGTTGACTGGCCATGTAGGCTTTCGAAATCAGGGTCTGGGTCCCAATGAAGAGTGATGGATGGTACTACCGGCTTGTATGCCACTTCAGCGTCTCATCCGGTAATTGACAGTCCGGGCCAAAACAGGAAGCAGGGTTATAACTTAGCTGCTTTCCCGCCAATGGGGATAACTAAACAATGGAGAAGTGGAACATTCGCTCCGCAGGGCCGCGTACTTCATATATTCTCCTTGACAGATTCAATGCATGGGACATAGGCACCCTGCAATGGCTGCCGACTTCATTTCCAATGCTGTGGAATTAATTAACATGGATTTTCCCTCTTCCGTTTCCAGGGAAGGGGCGGAATTAAACTTGAAACCGCTTAATAGAACTGAATGAAGGTGCAGCAACCTTATGTATGCTTCGACTTGACTATTCGGTCTAGAATGATTTAGATATGTCCTAATATTTAGAGTGTATTGTACTTGTAACTTCTCAAGTTCCACAACTCTAGCTGAGTTGAGGCTCAGATCAAGCTCTCAGACATCTAATGACAGGCATTTGCCTTCATCATTGAAAATGGCTCACCAATAGAGATGATCTTTGATTCGTAGGTGACTTAATGAACTGAAAAATCATATGAGCGTTGTTGTCAATCGAGCCGATAGGCATGTATTTATCCTCGGGGGGCTCCTGCTGATCGGTTCTCGCATCAACACAAGCGCTATGACCAGGACACCTGGCCCTAGGGATCTCCGATATCCTAGAAATACACTACATTGACCCTCGGTTAGACATTTCAGAAACATTATCAATAAGACTGGGATATATCTTATAGACTCATTCGTGGGCTTGGAGGATGAGTGAACTACTATTCTAGCCTCAGTACTTAACTCAAACAACTTTATGGGTAGGAATGTTCAACGCCTGTCGACTTTTTTCCATTTCAATAGCATTTCCACTCACGACTCCAAGAAGTTGAGCAGCTTTTCCTGAGCCGCAGACCAGTCAGCTAATGTGCCAGGAAGCGGTGTAGGTACTAAATCCGATATGGTAATACTTAGAGGGTATGGGCGAGAGAAACGAAAGTGATGCTGCCAGGACTAAATCTCAAGAACTATCATATGTTTTCTTAAGGGTTAAAGCACCGGGTATATACTTTAAATCAATTTGGGTATAGAGGAGAGTCGCTTTTTAATCTACAAATACAAAAGAGCTACCTAACACATCTGGATTTTCATCGAGGAGAGCAAGGTCGGGTGATATTTTCTACACCGGGCTCCTCTTGATACGAATCCAAGACACCCCAGGTCGTAGAATATTTTCGTCATTTAGCATTCGCCGTAATGGTGGCGCTGCTATTGGGACATTCGTCCACATAGGTCGATTCCATACGGGATGCGCGAGCTGGTCTTCGGTAAATATGATAGGCCTCTTGAACCTTCTTCCCGAATGACGTGCCACATGCCCTTGCATCATTAGTGTAGCGTTCCCCCGAGCCAAGATACGTGATTGCTCAGTTGGTGCACCAAGGCAAACTGCTTCGTCCTTGCCCTGGATCCATTCTTCAATGAGATTGTTGCCCCCGGTTCCCCTGGCAATAGCTCCCCCTGCCATGATGGCAATTGTTGGAGCGGGACGCAATATGGATGGGAGAGCAGATTGGACATTGGATAATTTAGCGATTTTGGAGAGTTCCGTTGCAAGTTGAGGTGGTAGTCTGCTTGGAGGCATTGTAAAGCCGAGATGGCAACGATGTCAGTAAAGAGGATGCGAGGTGGGTGAAGAATTACGGATGAAAAACTGAACACGAGACGACTAATGCCAATTCTTGGGAATTTTCACTGTTATATGGCGTCTCGATAGCTTGTAATGTTCTCAACATCTCGGTATGTGCAGAAATGAATGAGGGGAAAGGCACTTCGTCTCAATTCGAGACTGTGGCCTCAGGCAGGACAGTCGCTAAATTGATGGACGGTTCTAGATACTGGCGCACTCGAAATTGCGATGAGATGCTGCGCCACGCCGCCCTCAGAAGGATTGCGGTGAGGAAGTGTTCATATCCACCCAGGTTTACGCATTATGACCAATAAGCAGCCAATAAGATGAAACAGTGGTTTACGATAGCTAATGACATTGTATTTTCATGATGATGATGATGCGTCTTCGCGGGGACTTAGAGTTAAGACAGCACGGGCTGCCTCGAGCTAACACGCTTCAATGTTGGCTTGAGGAGCCAGACTTCCACCAGTACTCAACTCATTATATGCATAACGTACTACTCTCATTTGGATTGCGTTTTTAGCAACACGCCAGGCTCCAGTATTTGTTTAGAAATCGTGGGTGGCGTAGTTCAAAGCTGAGGCCCTTGAACAAACATGAGGCCAGCCTGTCCTGTCGGAAAACTTGATGTAGTGCGAGACCGACAACTTCTACTTTCTTCTTAACCTGAAAAAAAAATTATGAGACAAATTCAGAACGGATCAAAATGACAGAATATATTATGCGCGCCCTAGAACTTCGTCTACCACGGCATATATTTAATACCATAGCATGGGTCTATTACTATCTTCTCCCTCCTCTGAACCCAATTCCATATTATCGCTCCTTCAGACGCAACATGGATGCAAGGCAAAGAGATCGCAAGATCAACCAAATGCGACAACAGCTACCGGCAGCCACAGAAACCACATTTTCTAGCGGCACCGGGCCTCTTTTCACTCATGTACCAGCCGAAATCAGACGCCAGATTCTCATTCACGCATTTGGGGGGCGAACAATCCATCTTGACCTTGATTTTGAGCACCGAGATTCAAATATCGGTGAACTAAGGTGGTCCAGCTGCGTTTGCCACAGCAGCAAGCCAGGTCTGCCTCACAAACTGCGGTATGACGACTTCTTTAAACCAAAGGATAGAATTCGTACCGCTGAGAAGAGGAACCCGCTCGACTGTCCTAGCATTTCCGAGGGATCGCTCTCTCAGCTTTGTCCAAGCCCCGATGAATGTAGGGTCGGAGCCTCAGGTTGGCTGCTCTCTTGTCGCCAAGCGTAGGTGTTGATCCAGCCCCAACGTGAAGGTGGGAATGTACTGACACTATTCATGGAAGATATGCGGAGGGAATTGCGGTCCTTTACCACACTAACACGATTCATATAGACTCCGAAATACTATTAAAAGGCATTCAAGACATCCTGCCGCCAGGAAAACTAAATTTGATTTCGTCTCTTGAAATCACCATGAACTCCTATGGCGCTTATCTTGATTCTTTCACGGGGGTTTGTCGAGATGCCACTCCCAATTCTCCGTCCATTCCGTTTCCTTCACTTTCTCGGCTACATATCATGAATCCTAGCGATGGACATGGTTTACACTTCATGGTTCCATATTGTGTCGATCATCTCTTAGGGCGCGCGGTGCTTCCTACAACGGTGGTCACTGCATCAAGTAATTCTTGGCGCAATTTTTCTAAATTTGATCTCCATTTACTAGAGAGCCAGGGACAGGAGAAGACACAAATGAAATGGGCGGATATCGGTGGGTTGGTGTGCTGGAGAGAAATACCGGTGGATCAGAAAGTTGCTATTACTGAGAACGCATCAGCGAGACGCGGGTATTGGTGGCATGTTCCTGAAGACCTCATGGATTTTTCCGACCTTGGTAAGTTTGTCTCTCCTATTCCGATTCTCCTGTTCATTTCACTGATAGAGGGCAACCCAGATCATATCGAATTATATATCAGAACGGAATAATGCGGAGTTTGACTATTAAGTAGTTTTTTGTGTATAATATCCTTTGATCACATTGATAGGCCTTATTCTATCTCTGTACATGAAGTCCTCTTCGTCAAAGTTTGCTGGTTAACTTGTGTGAGCGAGACAAACGCTCGCAACGCGGCGCTGCAAATTCACTGGTTTGCTGACAGCTTTTTGAATTTCCTTACTACCTTCCTAGTAGCAAAATAGCTAAAAGGTAGTGCCACAAACCAAAAACTGAAGTTAATGCCCGCAGTGATAATGAGAGCGGTCGGGACTGCTTGGACACCAAACCCAATAGCAACAGCCGCCGTCTCAATCCCCCGCAAAAGCGAGCTATATCTTATTTGATCGCCAGGGGAGTCGGATAGGTTGCTGATGCACCAGTAGATGTAGTTCTCAACCATTCCTGCACTGACTCTCTCCAGCAGATATACCCCAAACCCCCGCCCAAACTGGCTCTGGTCGCTCCAATCCAGCACATGATTTGTCTTGCGGTACTCATTTTGGATTATGACAGCCCAGATCCAGGTGATGCTGTTGATTGTCGCAATGACCAGGTACGTGGTCACCGCGCGTCTTGTTCTGCTTTTGACCCATGGAATGTCTACCAAGACACCAGTGAGCCAGGTCGCGAATGTGCCAACTACGGCCGAGAGAAAACTCCCGAGAGCTCTAGAGCGCACGCTAAAGTATGTGGCTAGATATGTGCCGGGATATGCCTGGATCCAGCCATAGTACCAGAAGAGCGGTATCAAGATGAGGATCGACTTGCTTGTGACCAGTGACCACATGGCCCTGGCTTCCGCCAGCCAATGAATGTCTCGGGGAGCTTCGATTTTTGTTCCATCGTCTCGTTGAACCTTCTCCGGGTTGGAGAGTAGCAGCCCGAAGAAGAACCCAAGACATTGGATTGCAATGAAGGCCAGGTAGGTTTGGTACCCTACTTGGCCTCGCCTGTTGACATTAATGTTCAACGCAAGAGAAATCGCACCACCAATGACGTTGCCGAAATTGCGAAACGTGAACCACGTAGCAATATATCGACCACGTTTGTGGTGCTCTGGGTAGCCAGTCGAGATGGCTCCCTCCACGCTCCAGAAGAAGCCAGCGCTTATGCCACAAGTGACTGAGCCGAAGTACACGAGCCAGGTGCCTCCAGTACGGTTGTTGACGTAAAGACCTGCAGCGTAAAGGGGGTATCCGATCGACCCGAGTGCCAACGTCCAACGAAACCCAATCAGGTTTGTTATCCACGGGCCAGCGAAGCAGGTAACCGTCATGAAGGCATACAACAAAGCATTGGCCGCATTGACAAGATCCGGGCTTTGAGAGCCGCCAACGCCGAGCCCATTCATGGCTGACCAAATGCCGGGCGCGCAAAACGAGCATATCCCAACAACAAGAATCTGGAATAATGTTGTTCTAAAAAAGGGGATCTTGAGCACCGGCACTTCGGCCTCATTCTCTGATGACGGTGTCACCGAACTTTGAGCATTCTGCTTGGATATACTATCGGGCTTCTTGGAGTGGCTTATTTCCACATTTGACTCTTCATCCCGTGATTTGGGATGAATATTTCCTGGCATTTTGAGGACTATTTCCCCAAAGTATTTTGGAGTAATCGCGACAGTAGATAAGGATCTTACTATCGCTAAGCAGGTGAGAAGCTCAAGTTACGGTAGACATGATAATATAGGTTTCAGATACCCCAGCAGTATTGCCTTGGTAAACGCTGCCGAATAGTGGACACTTGCGTACATCTTGATCACGTCAAATGTAACACCAAATACATCATTCAGGCTACCGCCTAAACCACCCGGTCGGTAACGTGGTTTAGGAACCGGTATCAAGGCTCTGTGATTAAAGATTATTGGTCAAATGCCTTGTGAGATATTCCTAGCAATAGTTAAATGAACAGACTCGCAGATATTTCTTGGTCAATTAACCGTGAAAAAGATACTGAATAACTAGCTAATGAGCTTGCTATCCATCCAATCCACCAGCGGCAGTGGAAGAGGCCTAAACCCATCACTTGCACATGTCAATTTGTCGCATCCCCGAAAATCGGCAAGTTATTATCGTATGCATATGCACATATTCGTGACGACGTCTTTTGTCTTATCTTTGACGTCAGTTCTGCCTTTCAATAAGTCTATGCGGATCGGAATGACGCCATATGTAACAGCCATGATACGATACATCTAGAATGCAGTCAGCCCTCGGCATTACCGGCCTAAACTTCCCCTCTTCTATCATTCATCTATTTGATATTGTGCTCCTGATAGAATTTCCTAGGAGACAACCAAAGCAATTTTTGGACGCACTCTCTCAAAATGCCTCCTTCTGCGAAACTTGATACGGTCGATGGCGGATTGGAACTCTCGGCCGTGTTTGAAGAATTCAACCTCCCAGCAAGCAATCAAAGAGTCGTCACTACGTCTCAAAACCAGACATTCACCACGCCTCTCGCGTTGCGTGCGGTTCCTGGAAATGAAGAAATAACCCTTGACTCGGTCATCGATCGCATCCAGAATCTCCAGGGGAAGGACGGACTGCTCACGAAAGCACTGGCCCGCCATGGAACAATACTGTTCAGAGGGCTGCCCATTTCCTCGGCAGATGATTTCAGTCGCTTCGCTCATGCCTTTGGGTACAGTCCCCATGAAATCATAGGCATAGTGGTTGATAGGCCGGTCTTGGCACCCAACGTAGCTCCAGCGAACGAGGCTCCTAAACATGTCGAGATCTATAACCACAACGAATTACCTCAGGTCCCTCACGCCCCTGAATACATCTTCTTTTACGGCCACAAGGTGCCTGTTAAAGGTGGGCAGACACCTATTTCATCCTCGATTGAGTTGTTCGCACGCGCACAACAAGAAATCCCAGAATTCATCCAAAAACTTAGTGAGGAAGGCCTCCTGAGCAAAGTCACGTACAAGTTCGATCGACAGTATACCGGAGGATCAACTCTGAGGGAGGCCTTCGGCAAGGAGATCAAGGACGAAGATGACGATGCAGCCCGACGTTCAAAAATAGAAGCACAGATTAGTCGCTATGGACGCGGGAAACACACAACATGGGAATGGATCGATGACGGGGTTATTGTCTCGCACAGAATCCCAGTTATCCGCACCCAGCCAAGCACCAATCTCCCAGTTCTATTTACCGGCTTGGCTGCGTATTGGAAGAATTCTCAGGGCGGATCGAGTACCCGCAAGCAAATCACGGAGCAACTATACGGAGATGGCACACCTATCCCAGATCACTACCTCGAGAAGCTGGCAAAGATAACAGATGAAATTCGGGTGCTGCATAAATGGGAAAAGGGAGACGTTCTTGTTTACGATAACATCATCTCTCAGCATGGAAGGCAGCCATGGGAGGGCGAGCAGTCTGATCGTGTGATCATGGCAAGCCTGTTTGACGGTCCCCATCTTCCCGGGGCATACACAAATGCTGATTGGGCCCAGGTTGTCCAGGCTCTTCCAGGTTGAATATATATTTCATAATTCTTAGTAATGTAACTATCTTGAGATATCTGCATGTCTTGGCTTTGAATGGAAGCATTTACCTCTTAGGTTTCGAGGACTATGGAGGCACAGAAACCAAGTGTCTAATACCAATGCTGTGCGCTAAACCCCCCACTACGCAAACCATCCTACTTCCGGCTCGCTAAGTCATAAGTCTAGAGGCTCCGGCACGCAGTGAGTTGGGGTTTACACATTTCATATTCTATGGCAAAGGTTACAGAAAGACGGGCAGAATCAAGTTACGTCTCGCCTTGAAAGTATCTCTATTTTACGTGTTTATGATTGTTCCTGCTCAATAGACTAATGCCATTGTGTTAACAGGAACTAAACTGAATTGAGTGGGTTTCTACAATTATCACTATCCACCTGTCGGCCTCAACCAACTCCGAAATATTCATTCTAGTACACGTATCGGAAATTCAAGTTCTCCTTGTCGGTCAAATCATCCCAGGCACGAGTGAGATTCTCATCACGAGCCTCGGCCACACCATCGGCAGCCATCTTGTCTCTCTTCTTGTTCTGTCCACGGAGGTAGAATCGGAGGAAGATGATGGCACCAACAAGCACTACGTAGCATCCCAGATGTGTCGCGAAGGCGATGAAGTACCTTGGGGCATCTCGCTCCAAGAATACTTGCGGGCCTAAAGAGAGAGCACATATTAGAAAGGCTTACTATGAATCGGGGGGGCAAATATCAGAACGTACCGATGGCATTGCCAGCTGCCCAGACAATGAAGTTAGTTGCAACAACGACTGACTTCTTCGTCTGCCCAGCAACGTTTCTAGAAATCATGGACAAGTTGAGAGTCTGGGCGGACCAGAAGGATAGTGTGATGTAGTAGCTGATCAGCAGTCCGATCTTCTGGGCAAGGGTGTTGTTGGGAACGGCCATCAGGACAGCAGTCCCTGCGAAGGATCTATGATTCTCCAAGTCAGTAATTGATTACCCTCATCCTTACTCAAATAACTAGCGCCGGGTACCGAGCTGGGTTTCACTTACGGGAGGCAGAAGCAAAGCATGACCAGCAAATTCTGGTTTGTCTTCTTGACGAGCCAAGCCGAGGTCAGGAGAACGAAAATGATGTAGAAGCCGAGAACCATTGCCAAAAGCTGCGTCTCAATCGTACTGAAGCCAAAGTCCTTCACGATGAGATTAAAGAAGGCACCCAGACCGGAGGTGGGGAGCGTCGTGGTGAGGGCGATGAGAGCATATCCCCAGGTCTGGGGGTCTTTAAAGGCTTCAATGGCCTGCTCCATTTTCCACTTTCGGTTCTGCATGCCGGTTTGGTTGTCACGGACACGCTCGACCATCTCGTGCTTCTCCTGCTCGGTCCAGCACTTGGCGCGCATGGGAGAGTCGGGCATCCAGTAGCCAACACCGATGCCGTAGATGACTGAGATGATACCATAGGTGAGGAAGAGCCACTGCCAGCTCTTGAGGACACCGCCCTCGGGGATGAGTGAAAAGCAGTAGGCGAGGAGACCGCCGACAATTTGCTGGGCACCGTTCATCATGTACCTTGAAGAATGTCAGTATCCAATCAGTAGACTCTAGCAGAGCTGAATGAGGGAGGATTGTACGTCACTCACCAGTAAGTTACACTAGCAGCCTGTTCTTCTCTGCGATACCACATAGAGGAGAGAATCACAAATGCGGGTTGGCATGTTGACTCGAAGATTCCCAGCAACGTTCGCACGACAACCAGTTGTGTAAAGTTGGAGCAGGCAGCGTGGCAGCCAAGCACAATACCCCAGGCAATGATGCTAAAACTCAAGTATTTTGCAATCGGCACGCGGGTAATGATGTAGTTCTGGGGGTACTCGACGATCAGGATAGCGATGTAAATACAGGTTGTGAGCCAAGGGTACTGATAAGAGGCTGATTGTTAGCAAGCACTTCAAAGGCTAGAAAAGCAGTCAGGGGGTTAGTGGGAAGAAACGTACCAAGTGATTCGCCTTGCCCGCCGGAGTTGCCAATCCGTTATCTTTGAGGAATCCCATGATAGAAGCAAAGGACAGCGTTCCCTTGTCGATGGCTTGAAGGAAATAAGTCGCGATCATGATCGAGAGAACACGCTTGTCAATCTTCTTCTTAAGCTCCTTGCTTCTCTCGGGCGAGATATTGATTCGAATGTCAGATGTATACTGAGCAAGCTCCTTATCAACTCTGTCGGAAGCGTTGACGGGCTTGTCTAACGAGACACGCTCGACATCTGCAGCAGCAGAGTCCTTGCGGACTATGTTGTTGTCGGTAGATGCCATGAAGAACGGATTGCTTTTCTTTCTCGTAGAGATTTGATCGCGTTCAGCAAGTACAGGTGAAGAATGAGCAAGACAATCTCGAGATACTCCAAGTTGGGGAGGAGGGACACGGACGGCTTAAGAGGGAAGCCAAGACGGCCAAGGCGGCCAAGACGAGCGGATAAGACGTGCCGGCAAGACTGACAGCAGACAACCCTCTCGCATCAGGCCCCCTTGCTACCATCGTTACCACATTCGGGGGACCCTTGATGGTCCGACTCAGGAAGTGTACATTCTCCGCAGGCGGTGGACGGCCTTGTTCCCCCATTCCCCGGGGGGGATTCGTCTATGCGGGGATGCTGGACTGGAGCACCACAAGGTGATTTGCAAGACACACCACTCTCGCCATAGCGTTGCACCGAAAAAAGTATAAGCTTCTGATCACTGATTGGCCCGGCTGCCAAGCTACACCGAAAACCGAGAGGTGGTGGGATAGGGGAATGGTTCATCCCCGCAATTAGGAAATTTGGGGGAATGGGGATTGTTTCCTCTAGGCCGGGGTAAGAATGGTGGAGCGAGTGGGATGTCGTCTTCTTAAACCGAGCCCCGACGTCTGAGTCTTTAGTCGAAATAATCCCACCAGTGAGCGCTCATCAACGGCTGGGTCCTCTCGCTGCTGCGAACCCGGCCTGGAGCGAGCTGTCTGGATTAAATTCGACATGAGCTTGATTTACTGTGGACAGACCCTTTCCTTCGTTCAGTCGCATATGACGCGATTGGTCCCTACCCCAAGTTCACCTCGTTTACTTCCCCTGCCACTCCCTGGGAATAACGTCGTCATCACACTTGACTCTCTTTCCTATCTCATCTCACTTGGAAGGGCCAATTCAATAGGTCCTTCTCGTCAATTAGTCGCCAAATACGATAGCTATCGTCCGTGCAAACAGCCATTATGCCTACCCATGTCAATGGCATCGCCTCAAAAGATGTCCACGACCAGATTAAGAAGCTGATCCACGAGCTGGTCAACATCACAGACACCACAGGCCAGTTTTTGATGACGCTCGCAGACGGCCAGGTCATTGATACAAAGGGATGGAACGACTGGGAATGGACACACGGCATTGGCCTCTACGGCATCTGGAAGTATTACGAGCTGACCAACGATGCGCAGTACCTCAAGATCATTGAGGACTGGTTCCAGGCCCGATTCGCAGAGGGCCACAAGGGCAAGAACATCAACACCATGGCCGTCTTCCTGACCCTCGCCTACGTGTACGAGAAGACGGGCAACCAGACCTACCTACCCTGGCTGGACAGCTGGGCCGAGTGGGCATACCACGACCTGCCTCGCACCAAGCACGGCGGCATGCAGCACATCACCTATCTCGAGGTCAACGACCAGCAGCTGTGGGACGACACACTGATGATGACTGTCATGCCGCTGGCGAAGATCGGCCTGCTGCTGAACCGACCACACTACGTCGAGGAGGCCGAGCGCCAGTTCCTGCTACACATCCAATACCTCTTCGACCACAAGTCGGGGCTCTTCTTCCACGGCTGGACCTTCCACGAGGGCGGCCACAACTTTGCCGACGCGAGATGGGCGCGCGGGAACAGCTGGGTGACGATTGTCATCCCGGAATTCATCGAGCTGCTCGACCTCGAGCCAGGCGACGCCCTCCGCGCACACCTGATCAGCACGCTAGTCAGCCAAAGCGAGGCGCTCGCTCCGCTGCAGGCACAGAACGGGCTCTGGCGAACGCTGCTCGACGTCCCCGAGGAGGAGGGCTCATACCTGGAGGCGAGCGCGACAGCCGGGTTCGCGTACGGGCTGCTCAAGGCGGCGCGGCGAAAGTACATTGGCAAGGAGGGCAGCGAGGAGGCGGCGCTGCGGGCGGTCAAGGCGGTGCTGGACAACATCAGCCCGGAGGGCGAGCTGCTGAACACGTCGTTCGGGACGGGGATGGGTCGCGACCTGCAACATTACAAGGACATTCCGCGGACGAGTATGCCCTATGGCCAGGCGATGGCCATAATGGCTCTGGTGGAGTTCCTGCGGGCTTATATCTGATCTGATTCGAGCAGATGGGCGGGTGGGAGGTGGTGATCGACTGAGGGCTAATTAGTGTCAGTGCAAATGCCGCATCGTGTGGAGCAGGAGAGCCGCCTCGGTGCAAACTTGTCGCGTGCCGCATGCAGAATGGCTCGATGCTTGCGTCGGTGATGTAGGAGCACGACATGGCACGGAGCTGCTGCAAGGCCTGAGGGATTGTACTCATTTCAGTAGAGCACCTAGATGAAGAAAATGACTTATCGACACCAGATTGAAGGGGGCGGATGACCTCAAGCACATGGAGAAGTTTCTTTTTCCCGGTTTGCCCTTTCTGGGGTGCGATTGGCAACGATAGCGTCTCAATGACCATTAGAGCCCTGCTAGAAGCAGCCAAAGGCCCCGCCCCAGCTCGCATCTGCAGCGTGACCACGCCTGAACACCACTACAGGCGCCTATTACATCCCTCTAATACGGGAGCAGCCGGGCAGAAACCCGCAATACGTAGCTTATGGGGATCGCGTGCCCTCTACCGCTATGAGTCAGCGGATGCGCTGCGCTGACTGGCTGGATTGAGGTTGCATGACGCACTTGACTGCATCTCGGCTTTTTTTTGGTTTCTTGTTGGTGCAGCGTGCAGATGAAATCATGGAACTGCTGCACGTCTTGACCTGCAACTACCCCTCCTCGTCTTCTGCCTCCCTCGTCCAGACCTACATAATCTATTCCTTTATCAATCAATCAATCAGTCCACTTCTCCATCGTTGCAGCTGCAGGTCAATTCCAATCGGTCTAGCAGGCACTGGCGACGCGGTTCCAGGCCCATTGGAAGGGTAGCATACACACACCACCGTCACTAGCTGCAACATCCCATCTCACCAATCCTCCAATCAACCAATCGCCAGTTCTGAGTCACCCCGAGCCCCTGCCTGAATTTGCCGTGTCTTTTGCATGCCAAAACCAGCTGTAGCCAGTCGTTTTCCTTCCCCGCCGGACTTTTGCTTCACGGCTGGCGCCGAGGGTTCGGGGATAAGTTAGAAATGCATCTTTTCCCCCTTGCGTCACAGTTGCCATCGTAGACTGCGGGCCTGCTTTTTCCCTCGTTCCTTTATCTGCTCGCTACTTAAATTCTCTTCCGCCTTCTACGCTCGTTGACCCATCTCAATTGACGTCTTAGTTCAAGCCAGAGGTCCGAGAGCGAGCAAGAGTCAACGGAGCGCGCACACACAATGTCTCGTCCAGTCCACCGACTGGTCCATTCGTCACGCCAAACCTCGTCTGGGTCGTTCCACGCCGGCGCGCCGGTGCCTTCGGTCGAGTCTTTCTTGAAGCGCAAATCGTCCCAGCGATACCAGACCTTTCCGTCCCAGCCGCCCAAGTCACCCCTCGAGCAGCCACCCATCGGAGATCTCTCCTCTGATTCCGACGGCTCCCCGTCCGACGACGACGATGACGATGATTCCAAGGCGACCCCGTTGCCAGTCCGCCAGCTCCTGCTGCTAGCATACCTCTCGCTGTCGGAGCAGACGGCGCTCAATTCCATATCCCCATACCTTCCCGAGATGGTCGAGTCCATGCCCGATATCCCAGAGGAGAGTAGCGGCCTGTACATTGGCATTCTGGCAAGCGCATTCGCCCTCGCCCAGCTGTCGACCAATTTCCTCTGGGGGTACGCCTCGGATATCGTCGGTCGGAAGCCCGTCCTGCTGCTGGGGACCTTCGCCCTGATGCTGTGTTTTCTCGCCTTCGGATTCTGCAAATCCTACTGGCAACTCATCCTCACGCACATCGCCATGGGTATGCTGAATGGGAATGCCGCCTGCGTGCCCACGGTCCTGGGCGAGGTCACGGACCGATCGAACCAGAGCCGGGCCTTCACCTACCTCCCCGTCATCTACTCCCTTGGCAGCATTACGGGCCCCGCCCTCGGTGGGCTCCTGGTGGGGAGGATGGGCTCAGAGTACCCGTACCTGGCGCCCAACATTCTTGGAGCTGCCATGCTGGCCAGCAGCTGTATCGTTGTGGCAATCTGGTTTGAGGAAACCCTCGACGAGGAAGACGCTGTTTCCTTCGTGGTCCCCTCCTGGGTTCGTCGAATTGGCTCGTGGGCATCGCCCAGGCGGCTATCGGTGGGTGGGAAGGGCTCGCTGTCCAGGAGCAACTCCTGGAGCGCTCGATGGCCGCGCTCCCAGGCGGCGCAGCGGCCACTTCTGTCTCGGTCGCCTTCAGTGGACAGCAATGGTGACGATTCGGATGACCAGAGCAGTACATCCACACTGAACGGGGGGACGCCATGGAAGGAACTCCTCAATCGGACCACCCTGCTTCTTCTCGCTACTTATCTTGTTTTCCAACTGTCAAACATCAGCTTCAACAGTCTCTACCCCATCTTCGTGGCCACCTCTCCTCCAGCCGGGCGCGATCTGAGTCCCGGGAAGATAGGACTCACTCTCAGCGCTGCGGGTTTCACCACGATCGTGTTCCAAGCCTTCATCTTCCAGCCAGTCAAGGCTAGGCTGGGGAACATGGGGACGTATCGGATCGCGCTCCTCGGTATTGCTGTCAGCATGGTTTTGATGCCCTGGGTCGGCCACTCCGACGATCAGCCGCTCTTCGGTGTGTGGGATGGCAAGGTCTGGCTGTATATCGAGCTGCTGACTGTGCTGGTCGTCAAAAACATCTGCGCCGTCGGCGGTTTATCCAGCGTAATGCTCCTGGTACGTATACCCACCTCTCGTCACTCCCTTTGACGCGACGCAACATTTCGCCGGACAGACACTGACTAACCTTATTATTACCAGATAACCAACTCGGCTCCGTCGCACAACAGTCTCGGCACACTTAACGGCGTTGCTCAGACGCTGTCGGCCCTAGGAAGAAGCATTGGCCCTTTCGTCTCCGGCAGCCTGTTCGCCCTCTCCACGAACATCCATCCAAAGGGAGAGGTCTTGTCGTGGACTCTGTTCGGAGGCCTCGCCCTGTGCGGCTGGGTCGGCTCCCTGTTCATTCACTCGGATGCGCTGGAAAGCGACGACTGGACGGGTTCTAGCGAGCATCTGGATCACCCTGATGATGACGCTGTATGAGCTGCGGATGACGATGATTCGAATGATAACGACGACTTACGCATTTTGATTGACATTTTATTGGAGAGCGGTAGAGAGAACATATACACAACATGGCGGTACAAAAACAGATCTACATAAGAGTTCTTGAAAATTTTTTTGGAATTTCTGTACAGGGAGCATTTGGCCAGGCACATGGCACGAGGGTGGCAACCTGATCAATTAGGAACAATAGAAAATCGGCGTAAAGTGGGAGTAGAAATCAGACTAAATACCATAAATGGGAGGAACAACACGGCGGGAAGCACATCATCAACAATAAATTAGATGAATCAATTGACCTTTTCGTCTTTGCATGGCTCGGAAACTGCGGAATGATCTTACAGTGAGCGTCAATGGTTCATTGTGTTTGAGATCAATGTTCATTCGGACTGATGTGCGTTTCATATTGGAGGATGTCACACAACGGACTCGCTCACTACAACCCACAGATTCATCAAGCATTTTAACCATAACTCCAGGAACCGATCTTCAATTAATTAAATCGTCCTTGATAATGATTAATTCGATGCATTCCCTCGGTCTCGCATACATTTATTCACGTTGAAGCGAATTGGGAATGCTTGTGATCTAGTATAGGGTAGCTTCGATTTGGTGCCAAAGTGAGCTCCGTTTCTCATCGGCGCACATCATCATCTCATTCCACGAATTTCATCACGCTCAACACTGATTTCACTCAGGGCGCATCGACAAGTTTACAAAAAAAAAGTGTTTCAATTCTAAGACCAGTCTAACTTATACAAAGCAGACAAGGCAGCATAGAAGCACTCTAAAATATATATACATCGAATCGAGTGCTATTTATATACCCTGTGAGAGGGAGAGGCGCAGGGATCATCAACATCATCAATCTCCCTGCAGGGGCCTCTCCCCCTCACCCCATCCGGCGCTGGACGCGCACCGCCGTCTACCACCGGAGCGCATTAGCCACCAAATCAACTGAATTATTACTGAACGGAGGGACGGGGATGCGCAGCAAAGACACCCCCGCCCTCTTCTAGCCGCCGGCAGCTTCATTGTTTTTTCAGTGCAGTTGGCAATCGCTCACTAAACAGCAAGCCCGGCAACACCTTAACAAGAACAACTGTTCAGGCGGTGCCGGGCGTGCAAAACCGTAAACCATCCATAGTGTACCAGGGGGAAGTTCTGTTTCCAAGACCGAGTTGATCCACAACTCGAGGCCGGGAAGCCGCTCAACGGGTCGCTCGTCGTGTGGTGAGAGCGCTCTGACATAGTATGGGGGCCGAGGGTTTTCATTGATTTGATTTGATATTGCCAGGGCGCCGGGGGATTTAGACCCGACGCCCTTTGCTTTTGCACGCTTGTATTTTCGTAACGGTCGTTCGTATCCAATCAATGAAAGCCCAATTAACTAAAGACGACCCCCATTCGTCGTCACCTGTACGAGTAGTCGCTCGCCCCGTCCGAGTTGTTGTTGTTGTTGTTGCCGCTGGCCTTCTCATCGGCCGGCGCGACCTTGGGGTTGTTGGCGTCCGTCATGTACGCGGGGAGGGGCTCGCGGGGCTCCCAGGGAGGCGGCGCGGAGGACACCTGGGCGTGCTGGTTCTGGGGGATGGTGAGAGGCACGACGGGCATGGCGGCGTAGCGGCGGCGCTCCCTCGTGTGCTCCCTCATCTCCTGCCTGTTGGAGACGGAGGAGCCCGAGCCCGAGTGGCCGGCGTTGGCCGGGTAGGAGTAGCGAGGCGCCGCGGGCCTCTGCTGCGGCAGGTAGGCCTCCTGGTAGTTTTGCTGCTGGTAGTAGGCGTCGGTGTCGTGCCTGTCGATGAAACAGTGTCGGACAATCAGACCCATGAAGATGAGCATGAGGACGGAGAAGAGGACGATGCCGGCGACTGCAGGGCCAGTGAGGTGCCAGCTCCCGTTGTACTGGCAGCTGTAGTACCAGCATCGTGTGGTGAGCATGGGGGTCTGCTCATCGATGTCGTCCCATCCTCTCGCATAGTATTCGTCGTCGTCGTAGTCGTAGTAGTCGGCATAAGCCACATGCACACTCGCCGCCAGGGCGAGTATGAGCTTACGGATGGAGGGGGAGTGGTGGCTCATTTTGCTTCGAGGACACGGCCAAACAAGACATGACGATTGTCAGGACGTGGAATGAGTACGAAGAGGAAAGAAGCAAAAAGGAAAGGCAGAGCAAGGCCGGCGAGGGCAAGCTGGTCTTATAAACAAGACTCCATTTTTAGAAGCGTCCGTGGGTGATGCCCTTGCTCCTGCGAGTGTCGGGTGCAGCACCCAAAACAGGGGCCTTCCAGCGAGCAATTAGCCTCCGGTCAGCTGGGTCACGGAGGCCCACAGCGGGAGTGGCAAGGACCTGGCAGTGGGCTGTTGGACCTTTTTTGGGGGCGACTGATCTGCCCCCCTTGTACTGAGTCTAAGTGCTGTAGGGCAAGTCCCGGTCCAGGCTCTCGCGTAAAGCTGAAGCCCTGTGCGAGGCTGCGAGCCCCGTCAGCCAGAACTAATTATGCTTACAGCTAATTAATTACAGGGCACGTTGGAGGCCTGAGCCGGAGCCATCCATGGATGTCAGCAACATTGAGTAAAAGCCGTCTGCACAAGGAATTAAAAAAAGAAGTCCCTCCATGGGGCCTGGTTGCTTGTTTAATTGTCTATGTAACTATGATCCGAGCTCCCCAGCTGAGGAGGACGCAAGGGAAGAAGAAAACCATCTTGAAGGGGGAATCATGAGAAATGCACAACGTGAACGCCTATAACGAACATAACGCAACAGAAAGAAAAAGGAACGCCAATGCACATACGAAAAACAAGGCTGCCACCCAGATCAGAGCCCGTCTCGCCACTCGCTCCACCCCGCGACAATCTTGATCACCAGCCCCGGCTTCAATCGGACGTGTCGTGCTTAAGGCATGACGCGCTTTGACATAAGACGCAAGGGGTTACTATGTATGTACTTTGTTTCAGGGTTGACCGCACAGCCCATCGTCATGTACCCGAGTATCGGGTCGGACCACGCTTGGCCGTGGGCTGCTTTGCGTCGGCAGACTTGGAGGCCTTCCGCTTCGGCTGCGCGAGCTGTATGCTCCTTGCCGACGATGACGGCGAGGGCACATCTAGGTGTGGCGTGTTCCCCGTACCGATGCTGCCAAGCTCAGATGTGTTGATCATCCCCGAGTCTGCTCCCAGAAGGTCTTGGGGGCCAATGTGCGGCGGGATGCCTTGCAGATACGACGGGTCGAAGTCCAGTTGGACGCGACCCGCGACGCTGCCCAGGCCCTGTGCGGCGCCAAGGCTATCCTCTATTCCCCACGGACTCGCCATCGTGGGGTATTCCTCTAGCAGCAAGTTGGAGTCCGCCTCGTTGTATTGGAGGCCACTGGCAGCATTGAACATGTCGGTGGTTGCTGAAAAGTTTGTTGTTGTGAAGCCCCCGCTGAACGAGCTGCTCCTGGGGCCCAGGAAAGGCTGCTCTTGAGTGGCCATGGTCTGGGTGTGAAAAGGCAGTGCGCTGATGCTATTACGCGAAGGGCGATATTCTCTAGGCGGCACCGAGAGATATTGCTCGTTGCTGCCCTGTGAATACATCAAGGGTGCCGTCGCTGGAGCGTGATTCTCACACGGCACCACGAGCGAGGATGGGCCAGGATCCGAATGGTTTCTTGGTCGTGATTCCTGGACCTGGATCGAAAGAGATCCGGTCGACTTGGCGTACAAGTGGTTCGGCATTCGAGAGACTCGGGGCTCAGCCGGGGCCGTGTTCAAGCACAAGTCCTGGATCTCCGTGACCATCTCACGCATCTTCTCTTCGGTTGGCTCGCCCCCGGCTGCTATCCAGGACTTCAACTTCTCCTCAATCTTCAGGCGGTTTCTGTCCCGGCAGGCATTGGCCATCTCCGCAAAGTACGTGTCCAAGAACGGAGAGACAAGCCTGTCATCTTCGGGGAACAATCGGCGCCACATCTCCATCCAATTGTCCATCCCGGTTCGCCCTCTGACCCTGGACTTCCCGATGATGTGTTCGACTTCTTCTTTATCCAGGTACTTGTGGGTAGATGCCTTGGTGCATCCCGCGGCCATGTGAGCCTCATACTCTTCGCAGTGTGTCTTCCATTGTTGCATGCACGAAGGGCAGTAGTACGAGTCGACGACGTGGTATCGCTTGATGTGTTGTTTGACATCGCTGTAGCGGCTCAGTTTAAACTTGAGACACTTCTCATAGCGGAAAGGGTCGTGCCGGAAGAAGGGACAGGCGAACTGAGGGCTATTCGTGTCTGCGCCCTTCCCTTTGCCCTGGCTCCCGTCGCCACCTTCGCCGTTGCTGCCTTGGTCGGCTCCGTGGCTGCTGTCATCGTCGTCCGGATAGTTGCTTCCACAGCCACCGGGCAACCCTCCTGGCAGCTCGCCACATCCTCCTCCGCACCCATTGCTGCCGTCGGGCAGATAGAAGGGGTCACCCCCAAATGGCGACAATGGACACTGGTGCGGTGGAGGCTGACTGGAGAGTTCAGAGAAGTCGAGGCGTTGGATGTTGTTCGCTACAACCTTCTGCACAGCTGGCAGGCTTTTTTCTCGCAGTGGGAGGATCGAAGACAGTATGTAAGTTATCACAAAGGCGAGGCAGTCCTTGTTTAGACTGGACAATGCCTCCCTTGGCTCATTCTCATCGCAAATGGAGGTGTAGTCCTCCCCTATCCGTCTCACCACCATGATCGGGAGCTTGTGTGGTCCCTTTGGCACATCTCTAGTAGGCTCAACTGCCAGAGGATCTTCGGCTGTGACCACAAGGGGGGCACTGCCCTGGTTGGGATGGATGGTGAGCAGGGATACTTCGTCTCGGGGCTCCAGCCTTCTCGCTGGATCTGATAATTGAACAAGTTCGCGGTTGGGGATCTTCACGCGGAACTTGTCACCTGGGCCACTGTGGAACCTCTTTGCCAGCTTGGAGAGAGAGCTTCTGGCTAGCGCCAGAGGCGATTGTGCGTGAGCCGTCATACGGCGTCCATGTTTTGCCATGGTGGGTAGATGGTTGGCTCCGACGCCTGGTTCAATCCAAGGTCTATAAGATTCGTTATTAAGGCTGGTGAGATCTTTGGCCTTGACGGAGCATAACCATGCTTTAAGGTTGAAAATGGCCGAGAGCTTGGATGGCAGGTTGTGGAAAACAGGAGGATAATAGCAAAAACGAGGCGAACAATGCCAGGCAAAGGCCGGCAGGGCGGAGGTTATGTATGACATCGCCTGACGCGATTTCGTGCACACAGATGTGAGATACTGGCGCCCAACCAACCGGCGGCCGGGCCACCAGTGTGCGGCCCGTTCTAAGCACCTACCTACAACTTTTTGATGGAACATTTGAGGAAACGCGCACCCGCACAATGGAAGCTGATCTGCAGGATCTCTTGGCTGCCTGGCAAGCCTGGTTCGAGAATCTCCCCAGCCCCAGCTAGTTTAATTGATCTAGTGGCCAGCCGTTCCCGAAGGCTGGCCGAACTCTATGAAGTGAGACACTGCTAAACCAACCCAGGCAGTGTGTTGATGCACAGCCCGTTCTAGGCTCATCAGCCTGGGTGAATAAGGCTGTGTATGCCAGCCGGACGGCATCCGACACCAAAGTGAGGGTTCTCGTAAGCATAGCCGGCGACACTGTTGGTAATAATAGCAGAGCAATACTACATGATTAATAATTCCGGGACATGATGTGTTTTGTCTTGCATATGAGAGTACAGAGCAACTGGTACCACCGGCGACAGAGTTGCGGCGTAGCAACAACGCTTTGGTGTGCCAATAATCGTGTCACCCACGGGCAGGGGTATGCACAGCTTCACTGCACCCTGCTCTCAGCCACTTGGTGCTATCGAGATGTTCCTAATAGATCCCGCCCATTTGCCACATTCCTTCTGTGCCGCAAGCCTCTTTCAGCTGCGGGGATGGCGAGGCGGCGTTCCGGTTTATGCGCTCGTTATACAAAAGGGGTTTGCAAAGTGCAGTGGCTTGGTGGCTGACCACGTATCTGCTGCCGGGGGTTCGGGGAATACTGAATTGAACAGCCAGTAATCCCAGAGGATTGGGATTTATAGTTCAATAGTCCTGCTCTAAGCCGCAAAGAGATCTATTGCCTTCCTTCGCATGATATCCTGGAAAACATGGTCAAGGGCATAGTAATGTCATTTTTTGAGGCGTCAGCTTTCTCCAATAGCATGAGATAAGGCTATTCTAAACAAGAGGTATGGTCTAAAAATAAATCAATTTCATAATCTATCTCAAATGCCTCCCTGAGGCTACGAATCCAAGCTACAGAAGGACAAAAACAAAAAGAATCAGGATGTGTGAGTACTACTCAAGGAAAGATCGCGCGTTCCAGCCAGTCTCTTCACAAGGTCCTCTAGGCACATCTTAGAGAGCGCCTTGATGTCTTGCAGCTTAAAACGATCCGACTTCCCAACTCTACCGAGAAACTCCATAACTATATCATAACCAACAGATACCCAGTAATCCCTGAGTATAGATATATTGCGGCCCAAACCACTGTCTAAGTAAGGGCTGCCCCCGAGTTCCCTATTTGGAAACACCGTACGCCATATTCGCACCCACCTCTTCCGTTCCCCCATTTGAATCTTGTCCTTCTTTACCAACATGCGTTTCTGGCGATCATTCACGCCGTCCACGTCTCCCGTGGACGGAGTACAGGTCCGTTCTCGAACATGAATATCGCGTGTCAAGGCTCGCTCAAACTCCCTTCTACATATTGGACAATACGGCGGCTCTGTATGGTGCTCAGTAACGTGCCTTATAACGTCCTCGATAGACTGCAGATCATGCTGGAGGAGACACCATTGATATTTTGTGGGGTTGATGGTATAGAACGGGCAGGCCAAGTGAAAGTAGCCCTTGGTTCGAGATGCGGTTGGTTTCTCATCACAAGGCGTCTCCCAATTTGCTGCCTTTAACCGTTTCTGAGGAGGAAGCCGGTCATCGGGGGGAGCATTGTAGACAGCGGCTTCCAGGTTTCTTTGGATGACATCAAACGCGAACTCCACAATATCCAGCCGTAGCCCATGAAGCTCATGAGAGGGATCGAGTACGAAGCCCTCTGGCTCCGATTCTTCAGCAAAATAGACCTGGGAGTGGCAGTGACAGCTACAGTCGCTATCGCTGTCGCTGTCCGAAAAGTCATCGTCCCATCCCGATCCTTCCTGCCGAAAGTTATCACTATGGGCCTGTGGTGTATTTTGGTCAGTCTCAACTGCAGTGACTGAACTGGCGGATCTTTTTCGTTTGATGCCCGTGATATGCAGTGGTGTATCCTGTGATTGGTCATCCTCACACGAGGCTCCGGACAGATCATCCTTTGGCCTAATTGCAACATTGTCAATTGGGGCCCCTTTTGAAGAGGGCCTCAGCTGGTTGTCGTCAATGATTTCCCAATCCCAATCATAGCTCGCTTGGAGCGTCGAATATGATGAATTGATGTTGGGAACTCCCTCTGTGGAGGTATGTGTAAATTCAGCCGGAGACTGTGCAAGAAGTCTGTCAATCGCGTCTTGCTGGCCCTGTCTCCAGAATAGGATGGAAGCATCAAGAGAATTATGAAGAACCGCCTTCTGAAGTCGTAGGAAAGCTTCAGCGGAGCCTTCTCCGTATCGCGTTGGGATGTTGATACCCAGAATTGGCATCAGAGCATAGGCTACATCTTCTGGCTGGCTGGTGTTCCTGTTGCTGCCCCAAGATATCCGGAGGCTGGCCGGCGTGTCCAGCATCGTTTCTGGATCTTGGAGAACACTCTTGGGTATGTTCGTGATTCCCGAGAGGAGGGGGAGAAGCTCCTTGGAGCCTTTGCTCCCGCGGTGATTCCACTGGCAGTCGAAGATCTCTACTCTCTTAGGCACCACGAACTCGGCCAATGGCCAGGCTCGGGTCCAGTACCTGCATGATTTCCAAGCGTCTCCGTCGACGGATGAGCTTAGCGTGGGGAGATCATGAAGATAGACCAGGCAGACCAGTGCACCTTTCAGCCGCGAGTAGCACTCCGTAACGGCTTGGTCGACGTCAGAGCTGGAAGTTTGGTCGATGCAGATTGAGAACTCCCAGAGGCACGTAGCGCCGTATTTGATGGCAACTTCCGAGGCTGGTTGGATACTGGAAGAGAGAGAAGTGCCAACAGCATGGGATAGAATGGCAAGATTAGGGGGTTGCTTGACATCGACCAGCCGCTCGTCGAACGAGTTTGCTGTCACACTATAGACACGCATGATGTTAAGCAGTGTCTGTTGGGCTTCCCGTCTGAAAATGAAGACATGTATGGTTATCACGAGAATGCTTCAAGTTGATGATGTGAAAGGCGATCTCTTTATAGAAGGAGTCACGGTCGGCCTTCAGCCGCACAGCTGTGCCCCAATAGGCAACTAGCCCGGCGTGAATCATATATCATTTGCAAGTATCACGAACATGGGACGGAATTCACCTTTCCTCCACAATTGTGCCAAGTGTTTGGTGGCTACTGCATTTATTACTGAATATGGGTGCAACTTGCGATTTGGAAAAGAGAGGATTCGAGCCTCATAATTGCGAACCACCTTGGTGGACGTAAGCTGGCTTTGCGGATTACAACGCTTCGGGTCCGGTGAGCATCGGATAAGGTCTTATTGGAGCGGGGAGAGCTTTTTGCATTTCGGCCAAGTCCCGAGTTTATCTGAACGGAACCGGGAAGGATGAAGACAAAATCCTCCTATTCGTCCTCAAGGTAGTGTAACCTCAGCTCTCTTACCGATTCATTCCCTTCGCTCCTGAGATGCACATATAATGCACTGTTGCGAAAACTCATGCATACACCTCCGACACTGCATCTACGTATTCCGGAAACCCAACCCGATATCTGGGAGCCTAAAGGGAATAGCAAATCTCTGCTAACCTCCTGCAGCCCACACACCGCCATTTTGGTGTCCTCATACTTGTTCCTGGGTTAGGCGCTGGGTGCCTAAATCCATGGCAAGCACCCCCTTTGTGTGTCAAATTGGCGAATGGAAATATCCTGCTTAGAATCAGCGTGAGCTAAGTTCTTTGTCTGCGTAAATATATCGGACTACAAGTTGACATTGACACACACAGGCTGGTGCCAGTCACGCGGCTCCAAGCCAGGAGCAGGATCAAGTAACAGACGCCTTACTCTATTGAATGTGACTAACATGCAGATATCTATATGCGTACAGCTAGTATGATCACGCATCTGCCGAGATAAGAAACAATGATCAGAGCAAATGAGAGGCCGATGAAGGTGCACATGCCCAATAGTTGTATCACGGTGGTATTGGCACAACTGCCGTGCGGCCGAAATTTAGACATATTGGCACACAAATGAGTAGTTATTATAGCGTTCGGTAAGTTTCTGCTTGATGTGCAGCAGGAATGCGGGGTGGCATGTACACTTTGTGCTGATGATGCGTCGCCAAGTCCATGAACCAACTGGTCGAGAACACATGCCGAGCCGCAATAAGGGGTTGAAGTGAAATTATCGAGCACGTTCGGTAGTTACTTTCTTCACGAAAATGTTGAAACATGTGAAGTTTCGTGTTGAATCCAGCCTGGCTGTTGTTGCATTGGTGAGACCGGGTCGAGAAAATGTGACTCAGTTGCATGAGTGCAATTCGTCACGGCACTCATGCGAGCCGGGTCGTTATTTAGTGACTTATCCTATCACAACCCGTCCAAAAGACATTTTCCCAATGGGGAGTCATCTCGTCCTCCACCATCCTGGCCGTAGCAGCTGTTGTTGCCTAGCTGACAGGCAACTTTCGTTGTGTGATCAAAGGACCTTGATTGGCTGGTGCCTAGTATACACCAGCCCCCAACAAACTCCCTACTCTGACATTCAGCCTTATTCGGGCTTCTTGATTCGGGGAAAACTTAGCCAAACTATGGCAACGACTACGATCAAAGCAAGTATGATTGGCTGCAGGACTTCCACTCCCTTGCTCGAGGCAATAGCACCAATTATAAATGGAAAAACCGTACCGCCCGTCCCCCCAAGGGCCATGGCAAAGCCAATGGCGCTCACGTGGATATGCCTGGGCAGCAGCTTCGCCGTGACCATGACCGCACCGGGGAACAGGGGACCGAGGAACATGCCTAGGAAGGCGACCGCGACGACGGACACAATGAACCGCGGGACCAGCCAGAAGAGTAGCTGTAGCCCGATGCAGATGCCCAGGTAGATGGTCACACATACGCGCTCGCCAAAGCGCTCAGTAACAAAGCCCAGGGAGGCGCGCCCAAAAGCCTGACCGGCCCAAAATGCAGTACTTGAGATACCGGATGCGTAGGGAGATGCCTTGCGGACACGGAGCATAAACGTTGTGACCCAGCCACCGAGTCCAACTGAAGACACATTAGTATATCTGATGCTCTTATTATAAGATCTTCCGGGGCGTGTGATTAGACTTGTCTTACCTTCGACACCCATGTAGGCAAAGAAGAAGACCGAACAAAGCCAGGTTACCTTGGATTTCAACGCAACTCGCGTCCCAGCGCCCTCTGAACCGGTCTCATTCACGTGTTCGCTCCGATAAACTGCACCAGTCTTGCGCCAGAAGCTCATGCTCAGGCCGACAAGCTCAATCACAGAGACGCCAACCTATTTGTCAAAGATTAGCCGTTGCATGAAGAAGAAAAGACCACGCCTCTCCAGGCGATTGGACGGGGTTGCCTACCATGACATAATAATACTGGTACCAGGGCCGTTTCAAGGTCACCACAAACTCAGTGGCGATAAGCGGAGCAAGCAGAGCGCCAATCGAGTAGCAAGAGTGCATGAAGCCCTGGATGGTGTTCGCCTTGTCCATGGCGCCAACCCAAGCACAGAAGCAGGCGTCCGTCAGCCCGTTTCCAAAGCCGCTGATGATGTTGATCACGACCAGCACGGGGTAGGGCGGATGGAGACACAGGGCCACGTAGGTGACGATGTGGCATAGAGGTGCCATGACGGCAACACCGCGCTGACCCAGGGCCACATGGATCCGGGCATTGGTGAATGCGGCGAGGGCGTAGCCTGCAAAGGGAGTCAAGAAGACGAGAGATACGATGGTGTAGGTCAGATTGTAGTATTGCTCAAGCTGGGTGATGTGAGCGGGCGTTCAACAGAGTAAGCAATGGGTCATCTCGAAGAACGTACATATGGAATCAGAGCCTTTTGAGTCACCAAGTCAGCAATTGATGAGCCAGAGGGAAAGGAAAATGCCATCTAGCATCAGGGTAGAAGGGTCGTACATACGCCAATCGCTGCATCGTTCATCCCTGCGATGATGAATGACAGGAAAGCGAAGCCAAGCCGAGGGACATTCCCTCTCGGCCAGTTCCATCGCTCCGCCTCATGCCTCGCATTTGTCGGAGGGGGAGATTCATCTTGCAAGGCGGTCTCTCGCACCTCGCGTGCCACAGGCGCTGTCTTAGATTCTTGACTGGGGCGATGGCCGAGCTCGATGGCGCCATCACCGATGTCGGTCTCGGTCAACGTCGCTGTCTGGGACATGGCGAAGTCGAGCAATGGCAGACGAAGCGGTTAGCGGAAGGATGGAGAGTGAATGTTTTCCCTATGTTCCAAAGCAAGAGAAAGTGCGTCTTTCCAGGATGTAAGAAAAAGAGGACATAACTCTATCTGGTAGCTCCGCCTGACTCGGCCCTGTTCTTTGCATGGCTTTATTACGAGCAGCTTGCGGGGTTTCGATGATCCATCACCCCACTGCGGTCAATCTCAGGGGGCTTACCGCTACCAGGAATTGTATCTTCGCAGTTGGATATCGACCTTCACTGCTTCGGTATTACATGTAATTCTGTTTAGTCCTCGCCTATAAATGGGAGCTCTTCCTCTTTGCTACAAATTAATGCCTGCGCCTCCTTGACTCTCGCGTCCAGTTGCTCCACTGGATCCTTTAGAATCTCTGCTTGTCGGGATCACCTGCCCTGTGATGCCAGTGAGTGCTGCTTATGAACCCGCAAGCGCCAGACGCACTGGGCCGAAGAAGAAGATGATGTAGGAGGCCTTGCCAAAGGGGAGTTAGATGAGCGAAAAAGGCATACGGCTCATGTTGAGAGGTTTGTGCTCATATTTTCTCAAAGATAGACTTCAATCTCAAGCGACAATGCCTAGGATTATAAGAAATATACATGTGGCCTCAATTCCGCCATTATTCTCTAGTGCTATACACCAGCGTCAAATTAACATTAGATACATATTTGAATTCTGGACACAGATGATCGCTACAGCATCACGGCAACAAGACCAACCCCAGCCCCAAAGGTGAAGAACCAGATGGTAAAAGCATCCATGTTAAAGCATAGAGCAAGTGCGGCACTCGAGCTTCCGGTAGGGGAAGCAGCACTCGAGGTCGTCTCGGCCTGGGAGGAAGAGCTCCCTGACGTAGATGATTCTTTACTGGACGTTTCATCCTCTGTTGATGAGGTCTCAGTCTCGCTCGGCTCGCTTGACTCACTCGACTCAGAGGACGACGATGCTGTGGCGCGGCTTGTTGGCTTTGGGGAGCTCTCTGAGGCAGTCTCTGTTTCCCTTGGCTGGCTGCTCGTGGACGACGGGGGTGCTTTGGCAAACGAAGTTTGCCCGGCCAATGTCTGGAGGCTCGTTGCCTCGGCTGGCGTGGGGAGAACCACAGTCTTGGAGAGGTTGCTGAAATACTCGGAGGCAGCAGCAGCATCTGTCGTCGCGACGACGAACCAGGTGGTTGTGGTTCGCCGAGTTGATGTCACAAGCGAAGCGTCAATTTCCACGGAGACAGTCCAGTAATAGTACCAGTACCAGTAGGTCACTGTCCATGTGTACGTCTGAGTTCGGGTCGTGGTGACGGGCTGGGTAGTCGTGGCGTGGTGGCATAACTTGTGCTTCCGTTGTCATCGACGTGGGCTGTGCACTTTGCATCGGTGCAGCATACTCCCGGCGTGCAGAAGCTTTCATCGGAGCAACACTGGCCGCCGAGTGGATAGCAGTGGCTAGAGCCGCAGCAGCCTTCGCCAGGATCGCAGGGGCCCTTGGGATAGCAGACGTCGTTGGGCTCGATACAATAGCCCGCTGAGCAGCAGTTTGTGGTTCGTGGGCAGCACCTTCCAAAGCCTGTTAATCAATGTCAGGGTAAGTCCTCATCTCTTCAAACTTCTTTCTCACTGCCGCGAGAAAGCAAAGGCCAAGCAGGGGCCTGACTGACTAGGACAGTACCAGTATCCTGTATTGCAGGACTGGCGTTCTTCAAGAGCACCAACAAGTGCTTCTTCTCGGGCGTAGAAGCGAGCGCGCATTAATGCCCTCCAGGCCCTTGCTGGACTTTGGCTTCCGCCATTTGGATGGGATGCTGAGCTTCTCTATCACCTCGACTTCGCGCTTGTAGACGTCCACGAGACCCTCGAGGCTCCGATCATAGTTGAGTTCTATACCATTGACCAGACTTCCAGCCACGAGAGGGCTGATGCTGAGAACTACCAAGAGGCAGAATGATGATAACATTTCCAGGATCAATTTGACCACGATATGGCTGTTTTGTCAGTCGATGCTCGCTCGGGAGCCGACATCCAACTGATATATATCTCGCTCGGCAGCATTTACATGACGTCTAGAGGCCATTTTTTGCAGATAAGACCAATACGATGGCAAGTCTGCCTACATGATAATGAGCACTAGCTTGTTGCCAGCTCTCTCGCCCTCACTCATCATAGATCGCGACCCTAGTCGTTGCCAACAATGTCAATCCGCGCATCTCGATTGGCAACGCAAGCCAGTTTAGTCCACAGGGCTGAGTTGAGTCTTGGCGTGCATGTGGCGCTTTTGATTTGCTTCAAGTGGGAGCGCCGCATATTTCCCAACTCCCGTGTGGTTGAACAATGAGCCACTGTGACCCAAGTCTCGGTTGCGGCGCCGCCCAGTTGGTGGTTCATACACACCAGACAGGGGCTATCCGCAAGGAACAACAGCACAATACTCAGCCCGGGTCTAGACAAACTGAAATAGGCAATGATGAAGAAAAAAGGGTGTGGTACACTCACGCACTGGTTAGGTTCAGACCCCACGCTCGCCTTGCTGTGTGAGTGAGCCAAGTGAGGGGTCGAGAGACATACACGATGCTACATATTGCCGAGACTCAACCTATTATTTCATTCTCTGTGCATCTCTCCTTGGAGGAGCGGAGATCTGCCTCGCTGGCTTCAAGATATAACCAAGCGATATAGGGAGCGTTGTACCCTCAAGTATGTTAGTATGAACGTGTATGGAAGAGGCCTTCCTGCGTGGTAAACCTAGATGCTGATGCCCTGATGCTTAACATGTCATCTGTACAAGCAGCTTCGGATTTAAACAGGAGTGGTCCAAAACCCGGGCTTTCCCCTCACTGAATTCCCAGGTTCATCGGCTGAGAAACAGGCTGCTCCCCCTGCTCGTGGGATCACAATTGGCAAAGATGTCAGAGTCGTATGCCGCTAAATCGTCGCTCTTTTGTACACACCATCTTGCCTGTGAGGAGGTCGCAGAACGCAGCCAGGGCGGCAAGTGAATTAGCCTTGCAGGTCTGATGTCGAATGCTGACCGTTTGCGAACCAATACTTTACATTTCGTAGGGAATACATAGAATGAGGTTATTAGGGTCTCTGTTGGGTCACATTTAGCCGATGGCCATCGTTTTTCAGCTTATTCTCGTTGGGCGCTGGGTCGCATTCGCAATCACCACACGTGTGAATCGGATCTTCATTAATATCAATGCTAGCTTCTTCCCCAGAGAGAACGCTTCAGCGCAACCAACTCCCGTCCGTCGTGTGTATCTCCAACCGGTTTACAGCGTCTAGTAAATGTACCTGAAGCCTTCCGACCTTGTATCGGCAGTTCCTTGCTGACCCGTCTCCCCCGCCGCACGCTGCTCGTCTTCTGCCCTCTCGAGCTTCTTGTTTTCCCATATGTGGACGTACCGCAAGGTGATCGCCAAGGCGGCGACGACGACGCAGATCACCGTGTTGGTAGTCCCGCCGGGGATGTACTGGGGGCCCGTTGACGCGGGATACATGTAGGAGCCGTAGATGGTCGCCGTGTTTCCTATCATGTTGGAGATGGCGATGCATGCTGAGCGCTTGACGAGGGGTCGAGGGAAGGAGTTGGCAACCCACGAAACGATGATCTGGTCTGTCGTGGGAAATTGAACATTAGTGAAACGCCATGGTGACTGTCGACCTCTTCTCGAGTACCGCGACTTACACGAAGATACGGATCCCATTGGCATGAGGAACATGGCAAAGTAGCGCGCGCCTTTGACGGGGGTGGCTGTCGCAATTGCGTTTCCAATTGCAGCCACTGCCATGAGGACGGCGATGTGAATTGAACGATCCCTCGTTTTGGCCGAGCTCAGGGTAACGCAAATAGACAGGAGAAAGGTAGCAAACTGGTATAGAAAGCATGTTCAGCCAATAGGTCAAGGAGCTAATGTGAAGGAGATGGGGGCAACTTGATCTCGGAAAACTCACCCAGCAAGGCGCCGTCAGCCAAAGCGTCGTTATCCTTCCGTAGCCCAAGGTTCCGACGATGGTTGGGAAGAAGTACTGGAAGCTCTGCGAGATGAGACTGATGTGCTGCATGAGCACGAAGACGTACAGGCGGTAGTCGGTGAAGGCGAGCTTAACGCCTGTCCACATCGACGCGTCCTTGTACATGTCTACCTCGTTGATGTCTTCGAGGAGTCGCCACGAGGCAAACGCCTGCTCCTCCGGCGTGAGCCAGGTGGTCGTGTGCGGGTAGTTGGGTAGAAGAAAGGCAGACAGCATGGCGAAGGCGATGGCAATGACTCCTTCCTGTTCACAGTGTCAGGGGCTATTGGACATGACGGCACCAGGGATGTTCTCTTGACGTTGAAACGCCAAAGCAATGACCGTCGACTCATTCACTTACAATGATGAACAACCACCTCCATCCCGCGAGGCCCAGCGAACCCTCGAGGCTGCCCAGGATAGCCGCCCCGAGCAGCCCGCCAAACATGTTCGCCAGCGCATTCCCCGCGTACAGCCAAGCAATGCGGCGTGTCAGCTCGGCACGGGTATACCAGGAACTCATGAGGAACACGGCTCCTGGGAAGAACGGCGCCTCGACGAATCCAAGAAAGAAACGGACGACGATCAAGTGGCTGAACTTGTGCGTCGCGGCATTGCAGGTCGACACCACCCCCCAGAGGCAGCAAGAAGTTGCCAGATACAAACTCGGCCGAGCCCGCGTAAGCACGAGGTTCGACGGGAGCTGCATGAGCAGGTAGCCCACGAAGAAGATGCTCGTTGCCAGGTTGAAGTCGGTCCCGGACATGCCTAGATCAGCCTCCAACGAGCCCTGACGGGCCTGAGCCAGGTTGGAGCGGTCGAGGAAGTTGAGGAGATACATGATGACCAGCGTGGGCATGAGTCGCGTGTCGACTTTGCGTAGGAGCTTCCGCTCGTAGACGCTGCGCCATGCGTCTCCCCGGCTGGTGAACTGCTCAGCCCAGTCCTGGGGGTTGGGATCGTTTGAGAGGGAGGAGCTGGGGACATTATCCCCGGCTACCTCCTTCTCTTCAATGTTTGCTTTTATTGTGGCCATTTCGACAGCGCGCGATGCGAGCAGCAGAAGAATGATTGGGGGCAGGCAAGGATACAGACGACGAGGTGGCTTTGAAATGGCCGTGTTTCTAGTAAGCCCCAAAGTATCAAGCCTACATGGCCTACTCATGAGAGAATTACAAGATATCTCCGGAGGCGGGAGGGGGGATTTTAGAGGAAAAGACACAGGTCGACGGAAAAGCCAATGTCGTATTCATCGGCACTGGATAAACCGAGTTGGTCGTCCCGCCTGGCGGTCAACCATGCCCACGGTGTCACCCGACCGTCACAACGTGCCGTCCGAAACATATCTATGGTGATCCAAAGCCCAATGGGACATCTGGATTGATGCGGAGAGGTGGAATACCCTGGTCTTGCAGGTGGGAGGGAAGCCGGGTGCAACAGGCGCGGATCCAGTGGGCAGGGTGTGGGCGTGGAGAGTTCCAATTCGGCCAAAGGGAAAGAAATGCCAGGGAATTGATGGTTCTCATACTGTTTTCCGGGTAAAGATTACATTCTGGCAAGGGTAGATACACACACTTTCCTCTCCATGTCCAGAATGAAGGGCAGATGTTCCATTCTGTCGAGTTAGCGGAGTCCTTCCCTTGGGGAAAGGATCGCTCTGCGGGGTGAGAGTCTCATCACGAACTCTTATGCGGGGAGTAATTCATGTAAGCTTATTGATTGGCCTGGGAAGGACGGTGACCAGATTCCACCCGTCATTCCCTTGTCTCGGCGGAATTTCGTGATTAAAAGGTCAGTTTGCGAATGGCATTTTGTCAATTAGTCGGCTATATCAGGACACATAGCCTCAGAGTACACTACGAGTTTGACAACTATACCTCTGTCTACTGTATATATGCCTCTTACACGCGAAGAATCTCAGCAGCACGTCGAATGCCGCTCGCCGTCTTGGAGACCCATGCCTTGGCATCGTCCAGCCTGCCATACTGTACCCCCTCGGTAATGCCAGGGAACGTCACTGCCGCATATCCTAGATAGTCCTGTTAGCACAAGGTCGCACCAAAGCCCGCGTGGTAACGACGTACCAGTGTCAAGTCCCGGGGCGTTGACAACGTGTCTGAAAAACTCCCGGTCGGGCAGCCCACCCTGTGAGACGAATCCGCGCTGGAAGTCGCGGTATTTGCTGTTGGCGAGCTGGATCTGGGTCTCATCGTGTAGCCCGAGAGCGGAAATTTCCAGCTTTTTCACCTCTTCTGCCCGAAGAGCGAATTCTTCAATGGCGTCTGACAGGTCGGTCAAATCAATCGTCGCGCCGTACTGGTCGATGACCTCGATCAGGTCCTCTCGGTAGGCTCGCAGTTCTACGGCGTAATTCTGAACATCGATGGGCAGGACTTGGTCGTCAAGGAGGTGGAAGGTCAAGAGTGAGAGATACTGCCCAACCGCCGCGTGTTGGTGAAAGCCGGGATCACCAAACGTGGACATCCAGTGGTAGGAGTCGTAATTGCTGTGGTAATGCCAGATGGGATCATTTGCACCACCGCCTGATCCTACGTCCAGCTGTGAAGACAAGTTAATCAAGCCCATCTCTGAGAGTTTCTTCCGTATGGATCCAGAAGTGACTTACAGAACTGATACCGTAGTGCAAAAATGAGGTGTAATCGCTGCCACTCCCCAACACTCCGGCGATGCCTTCATAGTCGCGTACCCACGAATCGTACAAGGTCTCATTGTACGCACCCTTATTGGGGAAAATGACCTTCTTGAAAAGCTCACCGCCAATCCGGTGCAATTCCGGGGTGGCAGAGAGGTCAACATGGGGACCAGAGACTCCAACATCGATGTTGAGATAAGCGACGGCCGTCTCGGTCAACCAGTTGGCATTATCCTCCACCCACTCGGTCGATCCGATCAGTCCATACTCCTCAGCATCCCATGATGCTACGACACTGCTAGATGATTAGCCACCCGCCTCCAGCATCACGGCATCGGAGTACGTACAGATTTCGCTTTGGTTTCCACCCAGACCCGACAAGCTTCTTCACGGCCTTGGTGAACTCGACGACGATTGCAGAGCCGGAATTCGGGTCGCCATTACCCCCAATCATCCAGGTGTCACGGTGATTACCGAGAACAACAGTATCGCCAGGGTCAGTCCCATTGATGTACCCGATGACATTCCATATGGGAGTAATCTTCTCCTCCATCTCGTTCGTAATAGTGAGTGTCACTCCAGGCGCCGGGCCTGTCGAGTAGTCCACGTCGAGGCCGCCTACCCAGCGAGGGCGATTGACCTCGGCGGCAGTGCTGCCATGTCCATTCAGAGCGTTCAGCAAGGGCTGTGCAGATGCAAAGGAGAGTGGCAGGCTCGGGATGCCAGGAACCACATCCTCGTGACTCGCTCGCGGCACGCCCTCATGCGACGCATATCCAGGTGTGGTAGGATCTCCAGGCCGAGACGAGAGGAAGAGTGTAGACCCTTTCTGAACGGAATTGGGGTGTCTCGCAGGCCCATCTATGGAGAAATCTCCTGTCAGATATTCGGAATCCACGACTGGATCTTGGGGGAGGCAGCGCGCTACATACTGGGATAGTGATCATAGCCATTGGCAGCAGTGATATTGCCGTCGTCGCCCGGATCGCTATAGATGATGGCTCCCACAGCCCCAAACTGCTCGGCATTCTTCACCTTGAGACCGCGGAAGGGGCCTCCATAGCGCATGATGGCGATCTTGCCCTTGATCTCGACGCCCAGCTCGTCCAGTCGCTCAAAGTCCAAAAAGGTGCCTCGCCTGTTGGCGCGCGCCGGGTCAGTTCACATCTCTACAGTTTCTCCAAAATTGGAAATTGCGCCTCACCCAGCATATATGAATTCTCCAGTGCCAGTTCCAGAGCCAGAAAACCCGTGGAACGTGGGCTGGTTGTCTGGACGTCCCGTCACATCGTCCTCTGCCAATACGGGCTCGGCAAGGCTAACAGGCTCCGAAGTCCCATTTGCCCAAGTAACTGACAGCTCTTGCTTGAGAGGGTATGTGAGGAACACATGGTATTCATCTAGGCGTGTCTCGAACCCGTTCTCTCTGAATCGATCTGCCGTCCACTGCGCCGCCTCAAACCCCAGGCCGGCGAGCTTATTCTGATGCCCGTAATAATTGGACCATTGATCCAGAGTAACATTATCAAAGGAGTTCACCAGGATTGTCTCATGCTCGGTCAGAACCGGGGGCCAATCCGTGTCTCTCGTGGATATGGGCTTCCGATGCGTGCGACGAGTCTCGGCCAGGAAGTCTCGTGCACAGGCAGAAGCGCCCGATGAAAAGGCCAATACAGATGTCAATATGGAAATCATGGTGGTTTGCTATTGCGAGAACGGTATCCCCCCTTTCAGCTAGATGTTCCCTCAAAGAGCTGCCGGTGGTTGCTCTGGCCGAAAGCTGAGGGGGTGGGCGGAGGTTTATCACTGGAGCCATTCGCCGTCATTGGGCGATGGCGGAATTCCAGCTATCGGATTCTCATCGCTTGGCTTCGTCATCCGGCGAGCGTATACAGAAGTGAGTTGCATCGAGACGTTGCACGGCATCATCTGGACCCCGCTTGAGTGGCTCGCCAGCGTGTTGATCACCCCATGATTATCAACAAAGCTATCGCTCTAGTGGTTTTTTACGGTAAGCCTATCTAATATCGGGTCCCTGATGGTCATAATCGGGAAGGCTCCAAGTCGAAAAGCAGAAATGGCTATGATAGTGTCAGGGTTCCATGGCTGGGTGCTGCAGGCAAGGATACCCGGTTTACGCACTCCGTCACTTCACCCACATCCATTGGTTTAGGACTGAGGGCATACCCCAAGTCGGTGAGCACGGTTCAGCAAACAAGACAGAGAAGTTTCAAACGTCATTTATGATGAGTCACTTAGGCAAATGATCGTCATTTAGCTAAAGCTATGAAGATGTCTCTGAGACACCAGCCATTGCCAACATTCGAAGATACCTTTTCCGCCCTCTAGATGGGTGTGGCTAGATGCTAGGGCAATGGCGATAGGACACAGAAATACATCGATAGAGCAACGGCGGAGGTCGTTCTGTGCTTTGGCAACGGGACAAGCATTCTATCATGTGTTGTCTTCATACTCTCATCACCCATGCCTTCCAGTGGAACTGCGAGCGTACGATGCGCAAGTCCCACAGCAATCACTTCATCTTTTCGCGCACGCGGAATGGGACCAATGATTTCACAGTCGCATGAGAGTTGGATGGGTAACAACATCGCATATGTATGTATTCTGTACTGCCTAGGTAACAATAGCTTCGAATTGAACTCACGGCATGCCAAGGGTATTTGAAAATGCGGGCTAAAACTTTCTCTAAGAGTCTATACCGTCTCGATGTAGCGTTTCATTTCCCTACAGAACTGTCAGTCGGGCTTCTCCTAAAAAAACAAGGGAAAGAAGGGAACTTACCAATCAGTTACAGCCTCGTCGAATAATCTAACTTCGTTCTCACGTGTCCCTCCAAAATGATCTACGAACTCATCTCCAAGCACCTCGCGGGCAATGCTATCCTTGCTCGTGAACCTCTGCGTCGCGTCCTTCAGGCTCTTGGCCAATCGCTGGCCCTGGTCTCCCGCACCACCAATGCTTTGGTCTGCGGCTAGGGGTGGGCAAGGGATGGCAAGCTTGCGCTCTACGCCTCTCCAACCAAGTCCAAGGATGGCGGCGAGCACGAAGTGGGGGTTGGTGTCGGCGCCAGGGACTCGGATTTCAAATCGGGTTGCTGAAGCCTTGGACGTGGGAGGTGCGATAAGGCGGATCGATGCTGCGCGGTGCTCGAGCCCCCACGAGACAGTAACGGGAGCCCAGAAATTCTCGACCAGTCGTTTGTAGGAGTTGATCGTGGGCGCCAGGATGGGCATGATGTCGGGCAAGCCCTCAAGTATGCCAGCAAGGAAATGGCGCCCCAAGTCGGACAGCCCAGCGATGTCCTTCCATTGAGGATTCTCCTCGGGCGTCTCCCTTGCCAGTAGATTCTTGCCCGAGCTGTCGACGAGGGAGACGTGCATGTGGCCGCTATTCCCCGGTAGCCCATGCTTCGGTTTTGCCATGAAGCAAGGCGTAATGCCGTGCCGCGTGCCCACACTTTTCACAACATACTTGAAGAGACTCGCGCGATCGGCCATGCCGAGGATGTCGCCAAACTCCAATGCTGCCTCAAAGACGCCTGGGCCTGATTCGGTATGCCACCCCTCGATGTCGCATTTGAACGCCGCGCAAGTATCGAAAACATCGTAAAAGTATTCCTGGTTGTGAACGGTTCGAGTGAGAGAATAGCCGAACATGCCCTCAGTCAGGGAGGGGAGTTGGTGAGGAGGGTTGTCGCGAAGGAATGCGGCCGGGGAGGAGCTGTTGGGGTCGGGGTTTTTGAATTGGTAGAACTCGTATTCAGCTGTATTCTGTGAGTGAGGAGGGGCAGGCAGTGGAAAGGGATAAAAAAGTCTAGCAACCTCCAGCCATAGCTCCATAGCCCTTGGCGCTCAGCTTGTCGAGCTGGGACTTGAGCAGTCCACGAGGGCAGGCAGACAGCGGCGCCTTGGTGTCGGGGTCGAAAAAGCTGACGAGGAAGAAGGGGACATTGTGCTCCCAGGGAATGCGGCGGAAACTGTCGAGGTCAGGGACGGCCAGAATGTCGCGGTAGCCGTTCTCCGCGTTGGAGATTGACAGCTCGCGCATGTAGGTTTGGTCGTGCATATCCCAGCCAAAGATGACGGAGCAGAAGCCGAAACCGGAGGCGGCAATGGACAGGAACTTGGTCTTGGAGACGAGTTTGCCTCGAAGAATTCCGTCGACATCGACTCCTGCCAGCTTTACCCGGGTATCATTCTCTAGGAGGCTGGGGAGCGACTCGACCGTGATCTTTTCCGACGCCATTTTCGTCGCGCGCTGTTGAAGCTGGACTGTAGGACTAATGGAGACGCGGGGAGGGATGGCCAGTCGGGGAAAAAAGATGTCGGTAGGCTTGTTCGTCGCAGATCGGAGCGCAGGAGTTGAGGAAGAGGCCAGCAAAAGACTGGGCCCGGGAGACGCAATGGGTAGAGGGAAGGGAAAGGATCGAGAAGGCGCCTATGACGACGACGATACCAGATACGCCCATCAGCAATTGTGCCAGTTTCCTGCCTGTCCTATCTGGTCTGGTGCGTCTTGTCTTATCTTGTCCTAGCGGCTCTTATCTTTGGTGCCATTGAGGCGGGGACCAACCAAGATTCTGCGCCAGATGACGGCCGTCAAGCAGCAGCACTAGAGATGGGTCGCGTCGATAGCTTCCGGCGATGTGATTCGGTGGCTCCAGCGATAAAAGCTTCAGAACAGGAACAAGCGCGGGGTAATAGTGGTGGGCATGTGCCGTCGCCTTGGCTGCAGCGCTTGAGCGCCTAGTCTCGTGCCTGCTTAGCGGCCTGCCCTGCCCTGTTTCTGCTGACTGTAGCTTCGGTAGGCCTCCAGTTGGCTGGCTACTGGGTCAGTTGTTGCCAGCATCATCGGCAAATATCTGCCTAGACGAACAAGTCTCGAGCTGAAACGGTCCATTTCAACGACCCAGGCATTCGTTTACGTATCATTTTCCGAGCTCATCAGACATGGTTTTGATCATGTTTTATGGGTACCAGATTAGCTCACAATGCCATGGGCTGACTGACCTGCGCCATGTGAGATGGCGTCCGTAGCCGTCAATAGCGTGCAATGGTGCAGATGGAAGAAGCAGCCGAACTGCTTCGTTGGAACCGAGGACAAAAGGGAGCTACTGCCATATCATCATGGAGCTGGCTCCCTCGACACTTTTAAGAACATTTCCAGAACTAATATCATCGCCCGCATGCTCACAATCAAGTACAGTGCCGCGAACCTTCCCCATTCATCCATCACCTCCAAATGTCGTCCTCAGGGCTCCAAAGCACGCAATACGCCTGTCGGGCCCGGGCCGACGCAGCATTTCCACAAAGAGGAACAGATTTAGACTTATACGGGTGTTGGAGTGGCATGAGCGAACCCTGTTACGAGTCAATTCCGAATTAAGTCTAATTGTTAGTCAAGGATGATCAGATGTTTTCATGGGACAGGTATATATGTTCAACTGCATGCAATGGAACCCAGCATCAATGACTGCTCTTCTCGTCTCCTTGCTTCTTCTCATTGAGCACCCGGCGCACACGACTCACGATGGCCGAAATATCCAAGAAGCCATCTGCACACGCAGAGGCCGACAATGATATCAACACCACTGCCGACGACACACGGCCCACTGTCCTGGCCGGCATCTTCAAGCATGTGTCCAAGGTCATCCCGTATTTCAACGATCCTCGACACGTCCTCCTGTTCAAGCTTGACTGCCTCCTCCTGGCATGGTCCTTTCTTGCTGGCATCATGAAGGAGATGGATCAATCCGCCACCACCCAGGCCTACGTCTCCGGGATGAGGGAGTCATTGAACTTGTACGGCAATGAGCTGGTCGAATTCACAACCTTCTTCTCCATCGGTTATGCTATCGGCCTTGTCCCTGGACAACTGGCACAGACAAAGGTAAGCATATTCGACACGCGCCCGCTATGAATTATCGAAGCTGACGAAACTCACAGGTCAGGCCTTCTTGGTTTCTCCCCAGCTGTGAAATCACATGGGGGGTCTTTGTCACCTTGTAAGTCAATTGACCTAGTATCAAAATTTCAGGCTGGAAAAGA